AACACATAGCGACCCTATAGGACAGAGTAGAACTGCCCCATAGGGTTTCCAAGGAGAGCTGGTAGATTTGAACTGCTGGCCTTTAGGTTAGCAATCAAGCTCTCAACCACTACACCACCAGGGCTCCATTTACATACATATATACATATTTAATAGACCAGAGACAGGTAACAACACTCCAACCTGACTAGAAAGAGGTCTTTGTGGGGACAGTTAGGTGCTACGTTTGGAACAAGCAGGCAGACATTAAATTAAGGAATTCATACTTACTCTGTCAACAGTGGGCTGACATGATAAAACTTGTGGTTTGAGAAGATTGTCTACCAATAATGTGAACCAAAAAAAAAAAAAAAAAATCAGGTGCCATCAAGTCAATTCTAACTCATGGTGACTGCACATGTGTCAGAGTAGAACTGTACTCCACAGGGTTTTCAGTGGCTGATTTTTCAGAAGTAGATTGCCAGGCCTTTTCTTCCAGAGTATCTCTGGGTGGACTCAAACCTCCAACCTTTCAGTTAGCAGCTGAGTACATTAACCCAAGAACTCCACCAATAATATACAAGATGAAAAATAAAAAAAGGACTGAAGGTGGAGGGTGATGTTGGGGGTGAGATAGGGTAAAGGAAAGAAACGCTATGATTCTTAATTTACTTAAATCTCCACTTCACCTTCTAGAATTGTTTCAGAAGATTTCCAAGGGAGGAAAAAAAAAGTTTTTATTAGGATAAGGGAGGGCCCAAGATGAGAGAGAAAGAGACAGAGAGAGAGCGAGAAGAAATGAGAGAAACTAATACAGGAGAAAAAGAACAAGGACATGAGATTAGAAGGGGGAAGGATGACCCCCACCCCCCCATCAAGGACCCCAGATTACCTTCCCACTTAGTCAATAGCACTTCCCTGTGCCTTCTAGAAATGAAACTTTTCAAATATTCAGTATTGTTGACTGTGAAACTAATAATTTTATTCTTAAAATATTTTAATTATATCTTAAAGCCAAATCCATTGCCATTGAGTGGATTCTGACTCATGGTGACCCTATAGGACAGAGTAGAACTGCCCCCATAGGGTTTCCAAGGAGCAGCCTGTGGATTTGAACTGTCAACCTTTTGGTTAGCAGCTGAGCTCTTAACCACTGTGCCACCAGGGCTCTGATTATACCTTGGTTGGTTTGAATTAAGAAGAAGAAAGGCATCAGTCAGAAGCCACCACATTGAGAAGGGAGTTGAGGTTTTCCAGAAGCTAAGAAGGAATGGCCAATGGCAGGAACAGAGATGTGGCTGGTACCCAGAGAACTGGAGGCCAGAGATGGGCGGAGACAGGCGGAGAGAATCCTCTTAGTGTTCTGAGCCCTGACGTTGTTCCCTGAGCAGCTCCACCCTTTCTGAGTTTCGGCCACACCATGCAGTAGATTAACCATTCTTTGCTAAACAACAAAAACAAAAATAAAAGCTATCAATCATAATGTTTAAGAAGAAACTTTGAGAAGAACTTTGTTGGCACAAGTATTTTTAGCAAAGGAATCAGCTCTATTCCTTGTCAATGAGACAGTGAAAATGAACGTAGACTTACATTTGGTAGGGTCAAGAACCCTCAGCCAAGGAGACAAAATTCATCTTCAAATTTCATTGTACATGCTCTATCTCTTGTAACAATACGATTAGATGTTTAACAGCTACTAGGGACAGAGAACTCTGCAGCATGTCACTTCTACTTCTTCTTGTTGTCGTTAGTTGCCATTGCATTGGCTCCGACTCATGGTGACCCCGTGCGCAACACAATGAAACGCTGCCCGGTCCTGCGCCATCCCTGTGATCGTTAGCATGTTTGAATCCATTGGACAATATTTGGTTGTGATCTACAAGGTTTTCATTGGCTAATTTTTGGAAGTAGATTTCCAGGCGTTTCTTCCTAGTCTGTCTTAGTCTGGAAGCTCTGCTGAATCCTGTCTACCATGGGTGACCCTGCTAGTATTTGAAACACTGGTGGCATAGCTTCCAGCATCATAGAAACACACAAGTCACCATAGTATGACATACTGACAGATGGACAATGGCGGATGACTACAACAGAATGGCAGACAAGTGATGGGTGATGATTATGACAGACTGACACATGGGTGGCGGCTCTTCTGCTTATAAAGGGTATAATCAGTGATGTATGTTTGTTTTGGAAAATTGTATTTGGTGGAATATTTACTATAGATAATAGGGTTTATTCCCTTAAAGTTTTAAACAATGTTTATTCTACAAAATTGAATTTGTTCCCCAACTATTTTGGAATTAACTCACAGATGATGTCCTCACTAACCTTGTTTTAATTAATCTCACCAGTATATAAACAATGTAAACTTTTTTGTTTGGAAAAAATATTTGAGATTTTTCTTGATATCCATAATATTTTTTTACTTTATTGAAGAATTTTCTAAAGCTATATAAAATTGCATTCATCTACAAGGTCTTAATTTTGTGCTCTGCTCTCCAATGCAACCACACAGGTTGAGTGCCACCCGTATTTCACCCAGCCAAAACTCTTGAAATTTTGCCAACAGCATGACATTGTCATTGTCGCATACAGCCCTCTGGGGACTGCCAGGAACCCATCCTGGTAAGTAATGCTGTGTGTCTCTTTGGGAAGTATTTCCTTTGACCTGGAGAATGAGGCTAGTATGTCTTCCTGATTGGAATGACTGTTTGGATGTGTGATATTAAGAAAGTAACTTAACCTCTCTGAGTCATTCTCCAGTTATACAAATTAGAGCTGATAATATCCTCCTTACTGAGGTGTTGTAAGAATCTTACACTCTCTGTGTGATTGCCTAGCAGTGCTGGAAACATAAGAAATACTTGTCAAAGAAGAAAATCTAGTACTCTGTTAGGAGTGATAGAAAACAGTTTTATTGAGGAATAATACAGCTTGAGCTGGGCAGCGCTAAGTAAAAATACAAAGCACTCCACTGTTTAGCAGGGAGAGGGATCTATATACATAGAAAAAAAAGGAAAGATAGAGAGTTAATGACTGATTATAGATAAGATCAGCTTCAGCTCAAAGTCTTTTGAAATGTAAAGGTCAGCCACTTGGCTAGGAGGGAGTGAGTTACCGCCTAAGCAAGTAGCAGCAGCCAATTCAATTACACACCCGCTCCTCACTTATCAACATGGTTAGGTTCCAAAGACCAGGTTGTTATGCTAAAATAGGCATTATGCAAAAATGGAGGATGACTATGTCACTACATAACTGCCAGATTACATTACTGTCAAGTTACATCATTACGTAACTGCTAAACCACTGAGAATCACAGTCCAGACAAGGCGACACATAATCTTAACTATCACAGTCAGCATTACTCTCACCTTGCACCTTGGTGTTCATTAATGTGCAAAACATTCAGATAGTAGATTTTTTACTGTTGTCGTAAATGTGAAATGTAGGATAACGAGGGAGTCGATAAGTGAGGGTAGGTACATGGCTGCAGTCATGAGCACATTTTATTGGGAACAAATTGTTCACATCTTGACACATTTTTCCCATTAGCAAATGGTTTACATCCTGACCTTTTGCTTCCTGGGAATGCATATTGGCCCTGTCATTCTTACATCTGAAATGAGTGCCTTCAGTTTGAAACTTTTCTGTTTACATGCTCAATGAATGTCTGTATAAATATTGTTTGAGAAACGTTTCTATGGCCACCTTTCTGGAATTTTTTAAATCTGATTTCAATGGCGACACTTATTCTGTGGTGTGTTCCAGAGGATTAAGTAGAAATTTTTCTACTCTGAGTTGATTCCGAGATTGTGATCTGTTTCTTCCACTTCCTTCTTTCTACCTTCCCCTGTATGCCCACCTCCAGCCCAGCTCTCTAAGACTCATCTAAATGTCATTTAGCTTCTGAAAGAGGTCACTCTATAGACTTGCCTCTCTTGACCTACCCATACTAAGAGCAACTCTTTATTCAAGGATTACTCTTCACTCAGAGAAGCAGGTTCAAGGTGACCTGAAGTGTCCTGGTAGGTGACAAGGTGAACGGGGAGACAGAAGGAGGGGGACTGATTAACTATTGGTTCTTCTGCCCCACACTAAATATGATGCATGTTTTGATTTTTTAAAAGGGTGAACTTGTCTTCTCCACCTTTGTTAAAGGATGAGTATTTAAACTCACTGAGGAAAAAGTACAATAAGACAGCAGCTCAAATTGCTTTGCGTTTCAACATCCAGCGAGGGGTGACTGTCATTCCTAAAAGCTTTAATCCCGAAAGGATTAAAGAAAACTTCCAGGTGAGAGAATGGCTTTTGGAAATGTGAAAAGAGGGGTATGGTTTTTTTATGTAGAGAATTTTCTGTCCGGCTCAGTAAGAAACGTGTAAGCTGCCCATATCTGGATTTGATTTGGGCTGAATTTGAGACAGTCACCAGTACTCCAGGGCTTGCTTTCACTCTGTCCACTCCACTGAAACAGCCTTTGTCAGGGTCACCAGTGACCTCCACATTGCCTAATCAAATCATCAGCTTTCAGTACTTGTCCCATTAGTGGTTTTCCTTACCTCCGTGACCTATAAACACTGGGGGCTCCCAGAGCTTAATCCTGGAAGTTCCTTTCTCTCTCCTAGAATCACTCCTATTGTCTTCTACTGTGGTTTCATCTGATTTGGTAACTTCAAACATTATCTATATGTTGATGACTCCCAAATTTACGCCAGAGCTCTCGCCTGCACTCCAGACTCTCATATTCAACTGTCCCTTGTCATCTTTGCTTAGTTGTTTTATAGGCATCCTAACCTTTTGTTGTGGTTGTTAGTTGCTGTCAAGTCGGCTCCGACTTGTGGCAACCCCATGTCCAACAGAACAGTCTGCACCATCTTCATCATCATTGGTATGTTTGAGTGCATTGTTGCATCCATTGTGTCAACCCATATCATTGATCCCCCATGTGTCTGTCAGTTTACCCTACTGTGGGGGCTTGCATGTTGTTGTGAAGCTGGAAGCTATGCCACCGGTGTTCAGATACCAGCATGGTCACCCATGGAGGACCTGTTTCAGCTGAGCTTCCAGACTAAGACAGACTAGGAAGAAGGACCTGGCAGTCTACGGCTGAAAAGAATTAGCCAGAGAAAACTTTATGAACGGCAGCAGAACATTATCTGATATAGTGATGGAAGATGAGCCCCTTGGGTTGGAAAGCACTCAAAAGATAACTAGGGAAGAGCTGCCTCCTCAAAGTAGAGTCAACCTTAATGACATGGATGGAGTCAAGCTTTTGGGACCTTCATTTGCCGATGTGGCACAACTCAAAATGAGAAGAAACAGCTGCAAACATCCACTAATAATCGGAACTTGGAATGTATGAAGAATGAATCTAGGAATATTGGAAATCGTCAGAAATGAAATGGAATAAATAAACATTGATATCCTAGGCATTAGTGTGCTGAAATGGACTAGTATTGGCCATTTTGAGTCAGACAATCATATGGTCTACTATGGCGGCAATGACAACTTGAAGAGAAATGGCGCTGCATTCATTGTCAAAAAGAACATTTCAAGATCTATCCTGAAGTACAACTCTGTCAGTGACAGGATAACATCCATACACCTACAAGGAAGACCAGTTAATATGACTATTATTCAAATTTATGCACTAACCACTAAGGCCAAAGATGAAGAAATTGAAGATTTTTACCAGCTTCTGCAGTCTGAAATTGATCAAATGTGCAATCAGGGTACATTGATAGTTACTGGTGATTGGAATGCAAAAGTTAGAAACAAAGAAGAAAGATCAGTAGTTGGAAAATGTGGCGTTGGTGATAGAAACGATGCTGGAGATCGCATGATAGAGTTTTCAAGATCAATGACTTCTTCATTGCAAATATATTTCTTCACAAACATAAATGGCAACTATACACATGGACCTCGCCAGATGCAATACACAGGAATCAAACTGACTACATCTGTGGCAAGAGACGATGGAAAAGCTCAATATCATCAGTCAGAACAAGGCCAGGGGCCGACTGTGGAACACACCATAAAGTGCTCATATCCAAGTTCAAGTTGAAACTGAAGAAAATTAGAACAATTCCACAAGAGCCAAAGTATGAGCTTGAGTATATCCCACCTGAATTTAGAAACAATCTCAAGAATAGATTTGATGTGGTGAACACTAATGACCAAAGACCAGATGAGCTATGGAATGACATCAATGACATCATCCACGAAGAATGCAAAAGGTCATTAAAAAGACAGTAAAGAAAGAAAAGGCCAAAATGGATGTCAGAAGAGACTCTGAAACTTGCTCTTGAACACTGAGTAGCCAAAGCAAAAGGAAGAAACGATGAAGTGAAAGAATTTAACAGAAGATTTTAAAGGGCAGCTCGAGAAGACAAAGTAAAGTGTTCTAATGACATGTGCAAACAGCTGGAGATAGAAAACCAAAAGGGAAGAACATGCTCAGCATTTCTCAGGCTGAAAGAACTGAAGAAAAAATTCAAGCCTCAAGTTGCAATATTGAAGGATTCCATGGGGAAAATATTAAACGATGCAGGAAGCATCAAAAGAAGATGGAAGGAATACACAGAGTCATTATACCAAAAAGAATTGGTCGACGTTCAACCATTTCAAGACGTAGCGTATGATCAGGAACCAATAGTACTAAAGGAAGAAGTTCAAGCTGCACTGAAGGCATTGACGAAAAACAAGGCTCCAGGAATTGACAGAATACCAATGGAGATGTTTCAACAAACGGATGCAGCGCTGGAAGTGCTCACTTGTCTGTGCCAGGAAATTTGGAAGACAGCTACCTGGCCGACTGGAAGAGATCCATATTTATGCCTATTCGCAAGAAAGATGATCCAGTCAAATGTGGAAATTATCAAACAATATCATTAACATCACATGCAAGTGAAATTTTGCTGAAGATCATTCAAAAGCGGCTGCAGCAGTATATCGACAGGGAACTGCCAGAAACTCAGGCTGGATTCAGAAGAGGACATGGAACCAGGGATATCATTGCTGATGTCAGATGGATCCTGGCTGAAAGCAGAGAATACCAGATGGATGTTTTACCTGTTTTTATTGACTATACAAAAGGATTTGACTGTGTGGATCATAACAAAGTATGGATAACACTGTGAAGAATGGGAATTACAGAACAATTGTGCCCATGAAGAACCATACATAGATCAAGAGGCAGTTGTTCAGACAGAACAAGGGGATACTGCCTGGTTTAAAGTCAGGAAAGGTGTGCGTCAGGCGTCAGGGTTGTATCCTTTCACCATACCTATTCAATCTGTATGCTGAACAAATAATCCAAGAACCTGGACTATCTGAAGAAGAACAGGGCATCATGATTGGAGGAAGACTCATTAACAACCTGCATTATGCAGATGACACAACCTTGCTTGCTGAAAGTGAAGAGGACTTGAAGCATTTACTGATGAAGATCAAAGACCACAGCCTTCAGTATGGATTACACCTCAACATAAAGAAAACAAAAATCCTCACAACTGGACCAATAAGCAATATCATGATAAACAGAGAAAGAACTGAAGTTGTCAAGGATTTCATTTTACTTGGATCCACAATCAACACCCATGGAAGCAGCCGTCAAGAAATCAAAAGACGTATTGCATTGGGCAAATCTACTGCAAAAGACCTCTTTTAAAGTCTTGAAAAGCAAAGATGTCACCTTGAAGACTATGGTGTGCCTGACCCAAGCCAGAGTATTTTCAGTCGCATTATATGCATGCAAAAACTGGACAATGAATAAGGAATACTGAAGAAGAATTGACGCCTTTGAATTGTGGTGTTGACAAAGAATATTGAATATACCATGGACTGCCAAAAGAGTGAACGAATCTGTCTTGGAAGAAGGACAACCCGAATGCTCCTTAGAAGCAAGGATGGCGAGACTATGTCTCACATACTTTGGGCATGTTGTCAGGAGGATCAGTCCCTGGAGAAGGACATCATTGTTGGTAAAGTACAGGATCAGTGAAAAAGAGGAAGACCCTCAACGAGATAAATGACACAGTGGCTGCAACAATGAGCTCAAGCATAACAACGATTGAGAGGATGGCGCAGGACTGGGCAGTGTTTCTTTCTGTGGTACACAGGGTCGCTATGAGTCAGAACTGACTCGATGGCACCTAACAACAACAACAACATCTCATTGATGGCTTCCCTCAACTTCGCTGGCCCTCCACTTTACAAACCATGATGTCCCTCTCCAGCAATCAGTTCCTCCTGAGGACGTGTCCAAAGTAAGCAAGCCAAAGTCTCAGACAATATTCTGTATTCCATTGGGTTTTCATTGGCTCATTTTCAGAAGTAGATCACCAGACCTTTCTTCCTAGTCTGTCTTAGGCTAGAAACTCCTCTGAAACCTGTCCACCATGGGTGACCCTGCTGGCATTTGAAATCCCGGTGGCACAGCTTCTAGCATCACAACAACACGCAAACCACCACAGTATGGAAAACTGACAGACAGGTGGTGGATCTTAAACTTAGCGTGCCCCAAACTTAGCATGCCCCAAACTTAGCTACTGATAGTCCCCAAAACTCCTGCTTCTCTTAGAGTTTCTCATCTCAGTAAATGCCAACACCATCCTTCCATTTACTTAGGCTAAAAACCTCAGAATCACCTTTGACCCCTCGGTCTCTCACCACACATCTGATCTGCCAGAGAAACCTCCGCATTCCTCACGTATCAGGACTGTAACCAGTTGTCACTGCTTTCAGTGCAAGCAGCCTAGTCCAGGTCACCAATATCTCGTCTGTGTTATTGCAACTCCCAGCTGGTTAGATCTAGCTGGTGTCTCCAATTTGCTGTGGGCCTTTCAATATGGTCTCAACCATCAGTCTCAGTGATCCTATTAAAATGTAAGCCAGACCCGTCACCCATGTGCTCATAACTCTCCAAAGGCTTTCTCTTTCAGTCACAATAACAACCAAAGCCTTTCCATTGAGAGACAAGGTTCCCCATGACCTTCCCCACCACCTCATCTCATCACTTCTCCTTCTTGCTCACCCCATCGCCACACTGACCTCCTCAGGGTCCTTGAAACACACTGACACACGCCTGCCTGGGGCTATTGTGTGTGCAGATCCCTTCGTCTGAAACAAACTCCCCCAGATATGCAAATGGAGGCTCCCTCAGCATCTTTAGGTCTTTATTCAAATGTCACCTTCTCAAATTGGCCTTTGCTGGCCCCCGATGCAGAACCGAACCCCTTCAACACTTCCGATCACCCTTCCTTGTTTTATTTCTCCTCTGCACTTACCTCTCTATAACATACTGCATATTGTACCCATCTTGTTAATTGAACCATGGGAGAAAGATGTGGCAGTCTGCTTCTGTAAAGATTACAGCCTTGGAAACCTGGTCGGGCAGTTCTGCTCTGTCCAGTAGGGTCGCTATGAGTTGGAATCTACTTGACAGCTATGGGTTTGGTTTTGGGTTTTGCTAACTGTCTGTGTCTCCCTTGAGAATATAGGAATCTATGGGGACAGGGATTTTTCTCTGATTTGCTCACCACTGTGTCTCCAGCACAGTGCTTTACACATGTTATCTAATAAATAAAAATAACAATAGTGATCAAAGAAAAGTGAAGCATTTAGAACCTCACAAAAATTTGCCTCAGCTTGGAAAATTTTTAAAAGCTTCATTAATATGCAATATTTAAATCGGATAGCATTTTTGACAGGCAATCAAAATTTTAAACATGTAACCTGACTATTTAAATTCTAGAAACCTATCCTACCGAAAGGAGTCCCCAGGTGACGCAAAAGATTAAGCGCTCTACTACTAGCTGAAAGGTTGGTGGTTCGAATCCACCCAGAGATGCCTCAGAAGAAAGGCCTGGCAATCTGCTTCTGGAAGGTCACAGCCTTGAAATCCCTCTGAAGCAGTTCTACTCTGCACACATGAGGTCGACATGAGAGAGAACTGGCTCAAAGGCAATGGTACGGTCTTGGGTTTTTAAATATATTGACAGAAAACATTACCAAGACATCATATGAATAAAATAAATTTGCAGAATAATAAAGATATGATATAATTACTGCCTTTTGCTCTTAATGTGTTTAATGTTTGGGAGGAATATCTGGGAAGCAGAATGGGACTGAGGTGGTGGGTGCTAAGAACCTTTTATTCTATATATGTCTGTGTTTCTGTACTGTTTCATCTTCTTACGGAGTACATACTTATATATATATATAAAAAAAAAACCATTGCCATCAAGTCAATTCCAACTCATAGCAACCCTATAGGACAGAGTAGAACTGCCCCATAGGGTTTCCAAGGAGCAGCTGGTGGATTTGAACTGCCAACCTTTTGGTTAGCCGCTGAGCTCTTCACTACAGCGCCACCAGCGCTCCATATACTTACAAGCTACTTATATAATTATAGTTTATAACTGGTTCAATATATATTAAAATAACAGTGAAAGAATAGAAAGACAAAACAAAGTAAGAGAAGATAAGTTATAAACAGATAAGCTAAATATACAAATAAGCTCAAATAAATTATAGAAACGTTTATAAAGGACAGTCATAAAGCCAGAGTATAAAGTATAAAAGTAAATAAAAACCAAAACAATGAAAAGGTAATTGGAGTAAAAAGGTAGAAGATGAGAGAGTAAAAATAATGAGAGAAAGGATTAAGAGGACAAAATAAAGCAAATTAAAAGTAAAAAAAAGCAAATTTAGAGGCTATTGTCAGGGGCCATCAAGTGGATTCTGACTCCCAGTGACCCCATGTGACAGAGTAAAACTGCTTCATAGGGTTTCCTAGGCTGTAATCTTTACAGAAGCAGATCACCAGGTCTTTCTCCCGTGGAGCTGCTGGGTGGGTTGGGACTGCTGACCTTTCGGTTAGCAGCTGAGCACTTAGCCATTGCACCACCAGAGTCAAAAGCTTATACAGAAATAATAAGGTTTCTTCATACAAGAAATTTCAGAAGACTTCCTGGGTGTATGTTGTTTCAGTGTTTGGAATTTGTTGCATGAAGTCCCCACTTCATATCAGCAGTGTGGCCCCGCACTAGTCCAGCCCCTCTTAGTCTCCAGATGCTTCTAAGTGTGAAGGACTCTCTCTGCAGTCCCTTCGCCTGGTAGTCATCCGCAAGCACGCGGCTGGCTCCGCTGCCTGATCCCAAGTATGTCCCATCGCCTACCTTCGAAGATGTACTAACTCTGTTCTGTTTCCTTTATATTAGATCTTTGACTTTTCTCTCACTGAAGAAGAAATGAAAAACATTGAAGGTTTGAACAGAAATGTCCGCTTTGTGGACATGCTCATGTGAGTTCTTGGGGGATCGGTAACCAGGTACAGGCATGTGGGCTTGTCCAACATCAACCAGCAGTACTCACCTGAGCCTCAGCTGTGCCCACAGAAAGCACAGGGTAAAGGCCGTGGGCAGCATGTCCTGGATATTAAACATTCCTGGGTGAGATACAGACACTATAGGAACTGTCCACAAACCCACTGCCATCAAGTCGATTCCGACTCATAGTGACCCTGCGGGACAGAGTAGAACTGCCCCATAGGGTTTCCAAGGCTGTCGTCTTTATGGAAGCAGACAGCCACATCTTTTTTCCTCAGAGTGGCTGGTGGATTCGAACCACTGACCCTTCTGTTAGCAGCTGCTTTAACCAGTGTGCCACCAGGAACTGCCTACAAACCCAAATTTGTGTTTGAAAGAAGATTCCTGGCATTTATGACATTCCGTGACTTTGGTTAGGGCACAGCAGCTTAAGGAACTGGAGGACAGTTAACTTAAGAGTGTTGTTGGATGTCATCAAGTCTATTCAACTGCTATGTAGAACTGCCTTATAGGGTTTTCTTGTCTGTAACCTTTAGGGAAGCAGATCGCCAGGTCTTTTCCTCTTGGAGCCGCTGGGTGGGTTCGAACTGCTGACCTCTCAGCTGCCAAGTGCTTAACCAGTGTGCTACCAGGGCGCGCGTGCTCTCTCTCTCTCTCTCCCCCCCCTTTCCCTCTCTCTCTCTCTCTCCCTCCCCCTCCCTCCCTCCCTCTCTCTCTCTCTCCACACACACAAGTCTGTATGTACACACATGCACACTTTTTTCTTCTTATTCATTCCCTGTTAATCTTTCCAGTTCTTCAGATCACCTGGATTTTTATATCCTTATGCAATCTTCTCTTTAATGAGTATTTAGAAAATGCTCATTAAAATGCTTCATATAGCTTCACTTTGCCTTACTGGTTCCACTATTTTCCATGAGTCAGAAAGTGCTCTGGTTGGGTGAATTTCGAATTTCTGAATTAATAAAATGATTTGCTCATGTAAATTTTCCAGGAGAAAACAAAAAATTTATTTGACATAAAAAAGCAACACGTAGAGTCAAGGACAAAGGAGTAAACACAAAGACATGACCCTTTGCCTGAATTAACAAGCGCGTATAGATTAATAACTCATGAAGATAAAAGATTTCTATTGAAGAAATACCATTAAATTAAGAAGAAACAGTAAGATACAGTCAATCCACCGATGTACTGATTCTTTACAGAAAGTGATTTGGTGATATTGTTTACTTGACATTTGATATATTTAATAGCCAATCCCAGCATCACTGGGAAAATAACTTGACATACCAGGGAATAACTAGAAAAATCAAAAAGGAGAAACAAGCATTAGACCCCACTGGTCAAAAATATATATATTATTTAAAAGTGCTGAGCCATCATGACCCTCCTGCTTTTATTCAGTTGACCTTTGACATTAGAGTCTTTTTTGCTTTCTATTTTAATTTAAAGTTCATGGTACTTGCAGAGAATGGAATCTTGGTTATGTCTGTGGCTGGCACACACACACTCCAGACCTTCTATAGACTGTGTCAGCGCGGTTGTTTAAGAGAGAGGCTCATAAAATAATAATGACAATAATAATACAGTAAAACCTGTGAAAGCTGGAACCTGTGTACTGTGGAAACCTCTCAGGGAAGGAAAACCCAGATATTTTCCACTAATAGAGAGCAACAGAAGAGTGGTAAGTCTTCGCCCTGTCCAAGGCGGAAAACTTGCCAGACCTAGAAAACACAAGACAGGCCCCTCGAATTCCGACTCTCAGAGATTTCACTGGAATAATGGAAACTTGGTTTGCTGGTCATCCTTTTGTAGATCTGAAACTTCCAACCCTGGGGAGGCCTGGTGAGCGAGGGAAGTAAACGTGATGAGAAGGGGAGGGTGATGCTGTGGAGAGGAGACAGCCGGTATCAAGGGAGCAACGGAGGAAGGGGTTGGGAAAAGCCATACAAAGATAGGCAGGCATGGCCCACCTCCTGGGCTTCCATTCTGAGCAGAACGTTGGTGTGGTGGTAGCCAGTCTCCTCTCCCCACACACACCCCCAGTGTGCTGTCCAGGGCTCCTGTCAAAAGTGCTGGCTTGAGGGGAGACAGGGAGGGGCGTGGGTGAGAGACGGAATTGGAATTGGTAAGAAAGAGGGGGAGTGGTTAGTGAAACTGTCAGAGTTGTTAGTAATACATACAACTGTGCAACTTTTGGAGTGAATGTCTTCCTTTTGGGGTGACTGTTTTGGCAGGTGGAGTGATCATCCCGAGTACCCATTTCATGATGAATATTGACTTCCGAGAGCTCCTGAACCAATATTCCCTCTTGTGTGCACCAGGACCTTGGCTGGGTAGTTCCTTCAGACATGGAAATAAAAAGAAGTGATGACTGAAACACACTTAGCATTTGTATAGTGTAAATGACTTTGACATAGCAATGTTAAAGAAAATAAGTTTAAATCTGTTGAAATAATTGTGGGGAGATTATAGTTAATATTTTATTAGGCAATTGTTTTGGAGTTACAGAAGCAAGAGAACATTAGGCTTTAGAAAAGACTTCAAAGTCAACATATGAAAGCAAATAACTCTTGAATCTAGACTCTTGCCCAAGTTGGTAGCTAGGCCCCTTAATAGTTAATGGGACAACAAAGATGGCGAGAGAGCCAGCTCAGGCTGCGCACTGGCTGTGACCTTAGCAGATTGGGCCATTGATTTTGCAATAGACACAGCCAAGATGAGATCCTCACACTCGTTATTAACAAGGCAGTGCTTTGCTGCACCTTGAGGAGGGAAAAAGGGTTAAATGTAGACAAGTCTTAAAACAGAGCTAACTAAACCCACACTGGTCAGCTGAGCCATAATGATTTTATTTTTGGCTTCTATCCAATGCGTATTTGTTTAGCTTTTACCCAACCTGAGTGATGGATAATTAACTACTTCCTTCTTGTATCTTTAGAGTTTTGAGCTTCAATATAACTCTTGGTCCCTACTCACATATCTGTCAGTCTCGCACACATTCATCATACACCACTATTATGTAAAGTGGCCTGAAAAAACCAGCTTACACAAAACCATCTGTCATAAAATTGTCCAAAGATGACTACAGTCATGTGCCGCATAATGTCTGTTCGGGCAACAGCCCACCACATATACATCCGTGGTCCCATAAGATTATAATACAGTTCAGAAATCCTGACCGGAGAACAGGACATGGTGGACATAACCAGACCTAGTGAAGACGACAGCTTCCCGAACACAACACATGTATCTCATGTCTCTTGTATCCAAAGCAGTTGTGCTGCCAGACATACAGTGGTATGGTACATTGTAGAGGGAGGTTATTTGCCCCAGCAAATAGTATGGTGTTCATACAACATTCAAATCACATGAAGTCCTATTTCACAGAACGGATCATGGACGTTAATCGACACGTGGCTGTGTTTTAAAAGGAGGTATTTAAAAAGCGTGCTTTAGGGAACGTATTGAATAAAGAGGCTTTATAAAATTATCATTATATTGAAGACTTTAAAAGTGTTATTGGCATAGCTATTCAATTTTGAGAAAGTTGCAAGTTCAAAAGAACACAGGTAATTTTACCATATGTAAATTTTTAAAAAGGGAATAGAAAGATTATTAGAATTCAGCAATTGTGGGGTACCAGAGAAATATATTTCATTCATTCACATTAGGTCATTCTCACAGAGCAAGAGAGTTACTCACAGATTATGTGTGTCCAAGACCGATTGCTTATAGATAACTTCAGTGACCTGAAATCATACATTTCTGAGAAATGATCACTTAAAAAAATTGACTTATAATTATTGTTTCCACTGATTCTAATATTAATACTTAGAATTCTGTCTTCTGCAAAATACTTTGTTCACAAGAAATAATAAAGTCTGATGATTTGTTCACCACATGAATCTTTGTTTGCTTCAAGCTCCATTATGGGGAGACAAGTGGGGAGAGGAGGAAGAATCATCTGAGTTAATTTATATTAAAAGACCTTTGATTGAGTCTCTACTGTATAAGTAGCATGGCGAAGAGAGGGAAGAAAAAGCGGTGCCCAAATGGAAGAACAGACGCTTGATTCCTGATCCCTCTTATCTAAATTCTTCAGAATATTCTGAGGAGGCTGGTGTGGAGGTGGAAGTAGAGACCACACATATGAAACCATTTTTAAAAGACAAACGTTAGAAAGGGCTCCTACCATTTGTCAGGGTAAAAATATATATATATTGCTAAAGATTGGAGGAGAGGAATCCTCTCTTACTTATAGCAAAAATGGAGAGAAAAGAATTGAAGACAGGCAAAGGGAGATTGAGAAAGACTGAGCATCTGAACTCAACAACAAAGACAAACAACCCAATTAAAAAATGGGCCAAGGAACTGAACAGCCATTTCTCCAAAGAAGATACACAAACGGCGAACAAGCAGATGAAAAGATGCTCAACATCACTGTTTTTATTTTACTGTGTGTCATCCAGTTGATTCCAACTCATAGTGACTCTATAGGACAGAGGAGAACTGAGTCATAGGGTTCCTAGACTGTGACCTTTATGGGAGCAAGTTACCAGCTCTTTCTCCCAAAGAGTGGCTGGTAAGTTTGAACTGCTGACTTTTTGGTTAGCACTTTAACCATTGCGTCAACAGGGCTCCTTAAGGAAATACAAATCAAAAACCACAACGAGATATCACTTCACGCTTATTGTTGTTATTGTTAGCTGTTGTCAAGTGGATTCCAATTCATAGCGACCCCATGAACAACAGAACAAAACACTACCCAGTCCTGCGCCATCCTTGCTATTGTTGTTGTGTTGGAGCTCATTGTTGCAGCCACGGTGTCAGTCCATCTCGTTGAGGGTCTTCCTCTTTTTCGCTGACCCTCTGCTTTACCAAGCATGATATTCTTCTCCAAGGACTGATCCCTCCTGATAACATGTCCAAAGTACGTGAGACGAAGTCTCACCATCCTTACTTCTAAGGAGCATTCTGGCTGTACTTCTTTCAAGACAGATTTGTTTGTTCTTCTGGCAGTCCATCCAAAAGAATATTCAATATTCTTTGCTAACACAATAATTCAAAGGCATCAATTCTTCTTCAGTCCTCCTTATTTATTGTGAAGTTTTCACATATATAGTGGAGGCGATTGAAAGTACCATGGCTTGGGTCAGGCACACCTTACTCCTGAAAGTGACATTTTTGCTTTTTAACACTTAAAGAGATCTTTTGCAGCAGATTTGCCCAATGCAATACGTCATTTGATTTCTTGACTGCTACTTCCATGGGCGTTGATTGTGGGTCCAAGTAAAATGAAACCCTTGACAATTTTAATATTTTCTCCATTTAGCATGATGTTGCTTATTGGTCCAGTGGTAAGGATTTTTGTTTTCTTTATGTTGAGGTGTAGTCCATACTGAAGGCTGTAACCTTTGATCTTCATCAGTAGTACCGCAAGTCTTTGTCGCTTTCAACACTCAAGGTTGTGTCATCTGCATATGGCATATTTTGCATTTCAACCAGCAATGCATGAGGGTTCCAATTTCTCCACATCCTGCTAGCACTTATTATTTCCCCCTTTTTTGATAACAGCTGTCCTAGTAAAGGAGCCCTGGTGGTGTAGTGGTTAAGCGATATGGCTGCTAACCAAAAGGTCAGCAGATCGAATCCACCAGTGGCTCCTTGGAAACCCCATGGGGTAGTTCTACTGTGTCCTATAAGGTCACTATGAGTCGGAATTTACTTGACAGCAATGGGTTTGGGTTTGGTGGTATCCTAATAAGTGTGAGATGTGGAGAAATTGAAACTCTCATGCATTGCTGGTTGGAATGCAAAATAATACAGCTACTGTGGAAAACACTTTGGCAGCTCATCAAAAAGTTAAACAGAACTACCATATTATGCAGCAATTCCAATCTTATATACTCAAAAGAATTGAAATCAGGGACTCGAACGGATACTTGTACACCAGTGCTCACTGCAACACTATTCACAGTAGCCAAAAGGTGGAAACAACCTAAGTGTCCATCGACAGATGAATGGATAAATAAAATGTGGTCTATCCATACAATGGAATATTATTCAGCCATAAAGAGAAATGCAGTTCTGATAGATACCACAACATAGATGAATCATGAAAACATTATGCTGAGAGAAATAAGTCAGACACAAGGACAAATAATTTTATGATTCAATTTATATGAAATATCTAGAATAGGCAAATGTATAGTGACAAAAATCTTTTAGTGATTACTAGGGGCTAGGGGATGGGTAGTTCTTGTTTAAGGGGTACAGTTTCTGTTTGTGGTGATGAAGAAGTTTTGGAAATAAATAGTGGTGGTGTTTGCACAACATTCTGGATGTAATTAGTATCACTGTTGCCTGGAGATAACCTTTAAACCTTAAATCTCAAACCAAAACTTTCCCTAGAAGTCTGCTTGGAACCAAAGAAAAGTTTAATTAGTAAGGTATGCCTGTATCTTAGGCTGGGTTCTCTAGAGAAGCAAAACCAGTATAGCGTATATATATAAAACCAAAAAAAAATCAAACCCATTGCCATTGAGTCAATTCTGACTCATAGAGACCCCATATGACTTCCAAGGAGTGGCTGGTGGATTCAAACTGCCAACCTATTGGTTAGTAGCCTAATTTTTTAACCTCTGCACCACCAGGGCTCCATAAATATATACAGAGAGATTTATCTCAAGGAAATGGCTCAAGTGGTTGTGGAGACTTGCAAGTCCCAAATCTGTGAGTCAGATGTCAGGCTAAAGGCTTCTCCTGACTCACGTGGTTGCAGGGACTGATGAACCCCAAATCAGCAGGTCAGACAGCGTGCTATTGGCTCAAGTCCCAGAACCAGAGGTCAGATGATGATGAGCCAGATTCAGGATCCAGAGCAAGAAAGAGCCTTACTACAGCATCCATATGTATATTGGATACAGGCCATACCCTCAAGGAAACTCCCCTTACATCTGATACTTGAGTACAGGTATGACTTGAGTAAGGGTGTGACTTAAGTCACACCCTCTAGGAACAATGTGACTCAGGATGCACCCTACACTAATCCTGCCTCACATAAAATGGAGGATAATTACATAATATCAGAAAATGGAAGATAATTACATCAGATCACAAAATGGAGGAAAATTACATAGCCAAGTTGACACATAACATTAACAATCACAGTTCACCCCTTGTCAACTTGGCACCTGTACACATTTCCTTAAACCATACATAATCTCTAAATAAAGAAAATAATAAGGTCATACTTACGCCTACCATGATATAACTAG